TTTCTTATTCCTACTTGCTTGTTTATTATGTTGGCAATTATCAATGCTTGACACTATTAAAGATTGTGTGTTTATTTCTGAAACTGAAGGATATGCTGGAACTTTATAATCTGCTTTGCACTGGGTCTGAAAGGAGTTGACTCATGTGAAAAATAGCAGCAAAGAAAAAGCAGGAATTAAATCCCTGGGACCAAATGCACAAAGGGAATGCTAAATTGTGACCAGGGAATATCCTCAAACATTTAGATAGATGATCTCATTTCATTCCACTTATCTAGGACCATTTATGTCATGTTTATAGATCCAACTACCGTGTTTCCCAAGAAATAAGACATCCTCCGAAAATAACACCTACTTACAGGTTTCCTTCTGAGTGAAATATAAGGCATCCCCCGAAAATAAGCCCCCCCCAGGCTAAACATGAGAGATTTGGTCCACTGATTCTGAAAGAAATGGAGTCACAAGAAATTCACCAGGAAATTTAGGAATTGGATTGTTATGATGATGTTCCAGAAGATGATGACATGATTGTCAATAAATGAGTAAATTCTTGATACTGTAGGATTCACAGTTTGTCTGGTTTGTGTTGACAACTACCGTACTACCATACCGTATACAGGTAATAAATTTCCTTCATTTTCATTTAACAATAAATGTGTACTGTATTCTTCTTCATGGAAAAATAAGACATCCCCTGAAAATAAGACCTGGCGCATCTTTGGGAGCAAAAATTAATATAAGACACTGTCTTATCTTCGGGAAAACAGGGTACTAATATAGACAACTAATTTGGTGCCAAGACAAAAAAATACAGGAGTCCAAATCATGTCAGTTTTACTGCTTGGCTCATCCTATATAATAAAAGCCTAGCCGGGACCAGTTTGGCTCAGTGGATAGAGCGGCAGCCTGCAGATTGAAAGGTCCCGGGTTCGATTCCGGTCAAGGGCATGTACCTTGGTTGTGGGCACATCCCCAGTAGGCGGTGTGCAAGAGGCAGCTGATCGATAATTCTCTCTCATCGATGTTTCTCTCTATCCCTCTCTCTTCCTCTCTGTGAAAAATCAATAAAATATATATTTAAAAAAATAAATTAAAAAAATAAAAGCCTAATATGCTAAGTGTCCGGTTCTCAGTTCAAACAATCAAAGCTTGATATGCTAAGGCCACTCAACCGCTCGCTATGACATGCACTCACCACCAGAGGGCAGACGCTTCAACCAGTAGGTTAGCTTGCTGCTGGGGTCTGGCTGATTGGGACTGAGCGAGATATGCCAGACAGGCCTTGGAGCCCTCCTGTGGTCCCTCCCTTTTTGGCCAACCTCTTCGTCCCTCCCTGGTCCTGATCGTGCATGAGTGGGGTCCCTCGGCCTGGCCTGTGCCCTCTCACAATCCGGACCTCTCGGGGAATGTCAGAGAGCCAGTTTCAGCTTAATCCTGCAGGCCAAGCCGAGGGACCCCACTGGTGAAAGAATTCGTGCACAGGGCCTCTATCTTAAATAATTCCAATAGCCAAGCTCATCCTGGAAACGAATATCTACCTTGTATCTCTCACAAAAAAACCTGGACTCTCTGTTTTCGCTTCCCTGTGGCTAGGTCTTCAAGACCTACATACTACTAAAACCCACATCCTTCCCTTTCCCCCAAGATACCAATCTGAACTATAATATTATTTAGTGCCTGCTACCAACAACCATCCCACTCCCACACCAAGCTGTCCTGCTCCATCTGTCTACACCCTACCTTTTGCTTGACATATCCCTCATGCTGACAAGCTGACTGTAGATATATATGGACAAACCTCCATCCAGACTTCCCAGACCAGTTTTCTCCCCCATCTAAAAAGACATAAGTTCTATTTGAGGTCAATCTGCCTAGTAGTGGATATCAAATTCTACAACTAAGCAAGTCATAGCTCAATCATCATGATTACCCAATTTACCTAACTTTCAGTCATATGTAAGGTTTTATTCACCCTTTCTTTTCAGAACACAAATGGAAACATTCAGATCTCTCACAACTTGCTTTACCAGTTTACTTAGGAAGCTATTTGCAGTTCTGTCCTATTTTCATCCAAATCAACAATCATTACAGCTCTTTCCTTGCCTACCATCAGGCCCTTGACAAAACATTATTTCTTCATACACATTAGAAAATTAAACAGTTATCACACTTAAAATACAATTAATAGGGGAGGATGTTCCATGATTAAGGAGGGGAGAAAAAAAATAACAAATTTGGATTATGTAGCAATAAAAATTTGAAGGTATTTTTTAAAAAAACAACATGCTGTATTATTATTTTTTTAATTTTGAGAACACTGGCATTGTTTCATTTTTAAAAATATGTTTTTATTAATTTTAGAGATGAAGGGAAAAAGAGAATTCCATGAGAAAAACACCGGTGGGCTGCTTCCTGGACGCAGGCATCTTGATGATGATGCTCAACCAGCTGAGCCACACATGCTAGGGCTTGTACATATTTTTGATTGGTAATATGGAAAGAACCAAAAGCAATTCATGTTTTATAATTTTTTATATTAAATGTCTTCAAATTCAAAACAAAGAAATTAATTTTTTTTTCATTTTGTAACAAACAGAATAAAATATCATGTAAATACTTTTAAGTTGTCATCTGGAAGTATAAGAAATAAAGACCTCTGCCCTAATAGGCATGTTCAATGGTTAGAGCATCAACCTGCGGTTTCTTTTTCCCATCAAGGGCATGTACCTGGGTTGCAGGTCCAATCCCGCCCCCATCAGGGTGTGTAGGAGGTGCATATGGAAGGCAGCCAATGGACATATCTCTGTCACATCAATGTTTCGCTCTCTCCCTCCCTTCTCTCTTTCCCTCCTCCCTCTTCCTTCCATCCTCTTTAGAATGTAAAAAATATCCTCAATCCTGAGGAATAAAAAAAGACTGTTAATAACCAAGCAAATGAGATTTCTATTATAAGAGGAAACACCCTTTAAATGATTTTAATAATTTCAATATGATTACTATAGGACCAATAAATTGAAAGTATACATTCATATGGAAATGTCTGACAAATACCTTTCAAAAATTAACAACATATGCCCCATTTTGGGTAGTCAAAGTGAAAGTATGCAGCAATCACACTTTACCAAGATAATTTGGCAACTCATCTAACCAGAACACAATGAAAAAGCCACTAAGAAAAGCCCTCTGGACAATCAAAACAGATACTCCAATACCCAAGTATTGATTCATTTCCTTTTCTCAAGAGAGGACCTCGCACACTGCCTAAGAGTCTACTTTATTTTTCCTTTATACAGAACTACAAATATGAGCATGATCTCCACACTTGTAGAAAATTTAAGAGAACAGAGTTGGGAAGGGGGACATTGATCTCCCTGACAAGCACACCCAACAGCAAAGCAGAAAAGTACTTAAATAACATCAAAATGCAAAGGAATCTGATCAACACTCCCATATACAATCAACAGATACTCAAGGCATGACAGTACCTGACAGACCTGAAATTATGACCCTAAGTCATCAGGAAGATTAATTACATTCTGCATTTCCCACTCAAGACAGAAAAGAATTACATATTTTGACTTCAGTATGCTTTTCATTCAAAGCAATTAAAGTGATTTGATAATTTGGTACTTAAAGGAATAATCCCTCAACGACCCAGTAAGCTCAATTCGAAAGGAATTCACCTGAAAGTTCCAAATACCAAAGGTTTTACTGTTTCTGAGCTGAAGAGCACTCTGTGTACAAAAGTCACCTGCAAGTCGGAGGGAGGCGGGGGAGCGGGAAAGCAGCAAGCCTCGAAAACGCAGAAGAGCAAGGTGAGCGTCTATCAACACTCCGCTTACAGTATTCCCCACAGAGCAATATGTGGGCAAGGAGGAGCCACATCAGCAGTATTTTCTACGTGTCCTGCTCCTAAATCACTTGTTCGTTTCATTCATTATTCATTTGGGTTAATAGTGTGTCCGTAGGAAGCAGCTTCCAACTCTTTTAACAGCAAGAAGTGATAGAGCACTCACTTCATTTACTGTCCAAGACCAACGTCAAGATTGCCTTCTGGCGACGCAAACTTATGCTTTAAGGTGGCGCACTTTGATTTTCTTTTTCTTTTTAAGCAGCTCTTTTTCCAATTGCTTTGGATTTTTAAAGGGCTGCGGGAGATCGTGTCTAGCCCCACGCGGCACACCTCGTTATCAGCAGAGTTGCTACCCAGCTCAGCAAAGCCTCCCTTTCCCTCCCGGCTGCACCACACACTGCTCTCCCTAGATTCCCAACACAACTTTTTAAGCACAAAAAAGTATAACATATAAGGCCTGGTACTTTTCCCTCCTCTAGCGAGGAAGTCTAAATTCCCAAACAGGAAACTGCTTCTCAAAGGGCTCCACACAAGAAACCCTACCAAACCCCAACCCAGTCCTCGGGGATTTAAAGTTTAAATGCCAACAGACTCGCTTAGGTAGAAACGGAGTCCATACTCCGGCTTCCCTGTCCCGGAGGCATCCCCTTGCGAGTTTTTGTTGTTGTTGTTGTTGTTTTAACGGAGGGGATTGCCTTTCCCAGCCAAAAATAAAACTTTAAAAGCCTCGCCGGAGATAAAGAAGTTGGAAGCGTAACTTTGTCAGGTTTTTCGATCACCCTTCCCCATGGTGGGGTGGGGGGAGAGGAAAGGGCCGGGGAGACAGGGCAGCTCGGGCTGAGCATAAAGCGGGGTCCCGGTGGGCGAGGAGACGCGGCCGGGCGCCCCATGCTCCCCCCCCCCCCCCGGCTTCCCCGGAGCGGGAAAAGGCGGGAAGGGGGGCGCCAGGCGCACCCGCGAGCCCTCCGGCCGCCCTCTCCCCGGGGAGAGCAAGGTGGCCGGGGGCCGGCAGGGCGCAGGGGCGGAGGAAGGGCTCGGGGTGGCCCCCCCCGCCCCCCGTCCCTTCCGCGCGGAGACCGAGCCGGGACACCGCCCTCCCGAATGCGCCGGCTGGGCCGGCGGCCGCGGGGAGCGCCCCTTTCCTTACCCATGCTGGGGGCCCCCGCGGGGAGAAGCCCGGCGCCGCCGCTCCTCCTCCAGCTGCTCGCGCCGCCGCTCTGGCGGCCGGAGGCGGGCCCTGCGCCCCGCGCTTGCCCCTCCTGAGCTCAGGCGGGGCGAGGAGGTGCCTCCATCTGCCCGCGGCGCTGCCCGGACAGTCCCGTCGGCGCGGCCGGCGAGGGGGAGGCGGCGGCGGCGGCGGCTTCTGGCGCCTGGCCCGCCCCCGCCCACACAGCGGCTTTCCCACCCGGCGTGGCTCCCGCAGGGGGATGGGACCGGCCGGCTCCTCTAGGCCGCTGGCTCCCCCGCGCCGAGCCGAGAAGCCCGCCCCGCGCCTCCCCTTCGATGCGCGCCGTTCAGGGCGAGCGCGACGCCAGGGACTGAGGTGGAGACGCGGACCGAGGCCGGGAAGGTGCCGGGAGCGGGGCCCGGGAGGAGGCAAATCTCGCGAGATCCCCTCGCACTCCCCGGCCCTCCCGCCCCGCCGGGTGCCGGCTCGCCACCACCCGGCCCGCGGGCCCGTGCCAGGTGCGGTGACGTCACGGCCGGAGGCTGCGCGCCGCCCGCATCCAGGTGCAGCGGGCGGATGTCGGAGGGAGGCGGAGGGACTGTGGTTAGCCCTCCGCGCCCAAGTTGGGAGCAGCTGGGAGGGCGTTTGTTTGGTTGGTTGGGCGCCTCGGATGAACACAAAGAGTTTGCTGACCGGCAAAGTGAAGCTGGTTGCCCCACTTTCCGCGGCGGCGAAGCGGGGCTGCAGAGCGGAGGCTCTGGGGGACCTAAAGGGAAAGAGGCGGCGAGGCAGCGACCCCCTGGCTTTCCACCCACCGAGGCCCGGCTGCTGCCAGGACTCCGCAATTTACCTGTCAAAGTTCCTTGCGAAGCCGCATTTCTTCATGGGGGAAAAAAAGCTGAAGCACAAAATAAATTGCATTTTACAGGAATAAATTATGGGCTTCCTGTAAGACAATTTTTAAATCCCTCTTGTCTTTTATAAGTACGATTTGTTACAGGATATTCATAACTTGAAATATTGCCAGGTATTATTTTTCTATCCTCAGCATGAAGAAGGGCAAAAGATTATTGTAATCAAATAGTGTTTCTTTTCTTTTTTTTTAAGTGAAATATTGGTTGCAGTTACACCTTCTATAAATCCCAGTGTGTTTTTTTGTTTGTTTTTGTGTTTATGAAAGATTTTTGTTGATTTCAGAGAGAGTAAGGGAGAGGGAGAAAGAAACACCCATTGGCTGCTTCCTGCATGTCCCCCAACAGGGCATCCAGCTCTCATGCAGTCGGGGCTTGTCCTGACCAGAATCCAAGCACAACCCCTGATTAACCTGCTTCATGGGTCCAAGCTCAATTCTCAACTACCGAGCCACACAGGCTCAAACAGTCTTTCCTAGAATTAGAAACTGAATAGAGGTTAAGGAAAGTATAATTAATTCAGCCAGCTTTTCCCCCTTCTTGTTTAAGTATACCCAACCCCCAGAAAGAAGTGTGTGACAGCAACATTTGTTGAATGTCAACTATTGTGCATAGTACTTTAAAAAAAAATAATGTCATTTATTCTAACAATCATCCAATAGTAAAACCGCCTTGCCCTTTGAAACCAGACAGACCTAGGTTTCTGAAACTCAGCAGAGCCATTTACTTTTTGTGGAATCTTGGATAAATTAACTAACCTCCCTGGACTTCAGTTTCTTGAGTCTTTTGAAAACAATCTTCACAATGCAAAGCAGTGTCTGGCACAATGTAGCAGCCTTATAAATATCCATTCCCGCTGTCTCCTATAGACCTGCTTTTGCAAACTTTTAATTCCGTTATGACTTCTCAAATGTTGCATATGGTACCTTTATTAAAAGAATTGCCAGTTATAATCAGATGTATGCATTGGTTGTGTTGTATTGAAACCATAGAATATATTGTGCCTTTTTCAATCAAATATTTGAGAATTATGTTCATTGTCCCCTACCAGGCAAACCAAAATCAAAACAAAACAAAACCTGAAGTACAGCCCTTATCCTCAAAGATTTTGCACTCTAACTAGGAAGTGAGACATTAACACAGTTTATTAATAGTATGGGGTAGGGAGGGTCAAATGCCTGAGACTTTAAAGGAAAATAAATTACTATGGGCAAGGCAAGTTTCAGGAAGAAGGTATAAATAGAACTAAAGCTTGGGAGAAGGCAATAATTTCAGCCTGGAGGAGTCCTAGAAGTAAGACGAAGTGGACATACAAAAAGAACATTCCTGAGCCTTAAAGAAATCTATGTGGCTCCAGCTGCCCCTAAGAAAGTAAACAATTTCAGATTTAGAAGAATAAGGATGGTGGGAGGCAAAAGAAAATTCATGAAAGGAGAAAGATTAATAGTATATTGGAAAAGAACTAAATTCCCAGGTCTCTAGAATCCTAGACATTTCAAGAAGAAAACCAATAGAATAGAATTGAATAGAGCTTAATGAAAACTAACCTCTGGAAAAAAGACCACTGGATTTGACAATAAATTGCACTTTAAAAGTGCAATTTCAGAATATAATATATAACTATATATTCTGTATCAGAAAAATTAAAAGTCAGTTAAAGGTTTTAGTGACTAAGTGAGAGGTAAGGAGTAGAGGCCACAAAGAGATATGGTGACCATATTTTCTTAACCAGAAGTCAGGTCATATGATCTGACAACCAGATAAAACATTTAGTCCTGTCCCCAGCTGCCATGGCTCAGTGGTTGAGCCTTGACTTATGAACCCAGGAGGTAACAGTTGGATTCTGATGCCCGGGTTGCAGGCTGGAACCCGGTATGCCATGTGCAGAAGGCAGCTAGCTGATCAATGATTCTTTCTCATCATTGATGTTTCTATCTCTCTCCCTCTTCTTCCTCTCTGAAATCAATGAAAATATTTTTTTTAAAAAACAAACACACACACACACACAACCAAAAAAAAGCAACAACAACAAAACATTTAGCCCTGGCCAAGTGTCTCCTGTACAACAAAAGGTAATTGGTTCGATTCACAGTCAAGGCACATATCTAGGTTTCCGGTTCAATCCTCAGTTGGGATGTGTTCAAGGGACAACTAATCTCTCTCTCTCTCTCTCTCTCTCTCTCTCTCTCTCTCTCTCTCTCTCTCCCTCCCTCCTTCCCTCCCTCCCTCCCTCCCTCCCTAAAGCATATCTTGTGTGAGGATTTTAAAAAGAAAAGAAAAGATGAAACATTTACAATCAGTTCTAGCCTAGAAATGTCAGAATCTGTATTATTTCCTTAATAAGTCATGTACTTTAGATGTTAGAAAATTAAAATAAGCAAAATCATTGCAAATTCAGAGGACAGTATCCTATGAGGTATTGCTGAAATATTGGATCATAAAACAATTGAAAGGATCAGGGGAATAGGACCCATAAGAAAGGTTGAGAAAACTGAAGTAAAGTGCACTAGCTGGGTTGTGGGGTCCTTCCTGGCCTGGCCCTGGCCTTGTTGGAACACCTGCAGGAGGCAACCAATCAATGTGTTTCTCTCAATCCAGGTTTCTCTCTGTCTTTCCCTCCTTCCACTCTCCAGAAAAGAAAAGGAAAGGAAAGGAAAGGAAAGGAAAGGAAAAGAAAGGAAAAGGAAAAGGAAAAGGAAAAGGAAAAGGAAAAGGAAAGAAAAGAAAAGAAAAGAAAAGAAAAGAAAAGAAAAGAAAAGAAAAGAAAAGAAAAGAAGAAAGGAAAGGAAAGGAAAGGAAAGGAAAGGAAAGGAAAGGAAAGGAAAGGAAAGGAAAGGAAAGGAAAGGAAAGGAAAGGAAAGGAAAGGAAAGGAAAGGAAAGGAAAGGAAAGGAAAGGAAAGAAGGAAATAATAAATCGATGGTAAAATATCCTTGGGTGAGGATTAACAGAAAAGAAAAGAAAAAGAAAAAGAAAAAGAAAAGAAAAAGAAAAAAAAACAAAACCTGAAGTAAAGCTATAAAATAATCACAACCTAGAGTTATGCCTATCTTTTACAGGTAAAGTCAAAGGAAACCCCAATAGAAGAATGAAATCAGAAATGTATTTTTTAAACTTACAAAATGGTATGTAAAACTACATTCCAAATTCCAAGTACTAGGCAATTACTTATTAATTATTCCATGGAGTTCTTTTCATCTTGTCTTACCTCCCCAGTGAGACCTTTAAAGTTTGCACTATTTATATATATAAAAGCTTAAGCGACCGAACGACCAAATGACTGGTTGCTAGCATGCACACTGGCCACCAGGGAGCAGATGCTCAACGCAGGAGCTGCCTTAGTGGTCAGTGCACTCCCACAGTGGAACACTGCTCAGCTGACCAACAGGTGCCAGATGCAGGGCTCACGGCTGGTGAGTGCTGCTGCAGCAGTGCAAGCCTCTAGATCTGAACTGATGGGCACCAGCACACAGCAAGTAAATTGGGGTCCGGGTGAGCGGAAGTGGGAGTGGGAGCACCAGGCAACAGTGGCAGGCAGCATTGGACTGCTTTCTTATCTGAGCCTCACAAGCCACACCGAGGGACCCCACTTTGAGGGACATTGGAGTTGCCCAATGAGGATAAGGAAGTGTATTGACAGCCAGGACTATAGGCAAGTGTACCATCAAAACCCTAGCCTTTTGGGGGTCTAGGCTCAGGGAACGAGAGTCTAGCACAGAGGGCCCCATGTGTTATGGGAATGACTTGAGATGTTATTCTACAAGTTATAGGTAGCTAATGAAAAATTTTAAGTAGGTAATAGATTTGCTCTTTCAACCGTGTCTACAATCACAGAAATAAAAATCAGACCTTTCAAAAATTTAGTTATAAAACATTTGGTTCAATAAGCATTGACTAAACACCCATACTCTTGATCAATTAGTAAATATGTTTTTACTAATATAAAAATATTTAAGCCGAAACCGGTTTGGCTCAGCGGTAGAGCGTCGGTCTGCGGACTGAAAGGTCCCAGGTTCGATTCCGGTCAAGGGCATGTACTTTGGTTGCGGGCACATCCCCCATAGGGGGTGTGC